GTTGTTATTTTAGTAATAAAGCTTAAATTTATTTGGAAGAAATTATTTCTTTTTTTTTTCTTTGCTATTGACAGTTTTGTCAAATATTTGATGAGAGATATGAAGAAAGAACAAAGTCTTACGATTGTCGATTAGTTAATCAATGTGATATAGTCAAAAATCAGAGTAATCAATGTGATATATTCAATTTTAAAATTTACAGAATTGAAATAAATTGAAATTAAATGAAATTTAAACGATCAATCAGTAAGTGTATTGTACTATGATATTTATAAAAAATAATTTAAGATAAAAGGAAAATCAAAGTGATCAATGTGATATACTCAAAAATCAAAGTAATCAATGTGATATGTTCAAAAGTCAAAGTAATCAATGTGATATATTCAATTTTAAAATTTACAGAATTGAAATAAATTAAAATGAAATGAAATTTAAATGATTAATCAATAAGTATATTGTATTATGATATTTGCAAAAAAATAATTTAAGATAAAAGAAAAAAAACAGGTAAAAATTGAATAGCTGCTTTAATTATGAAATCATTGATTGATCGCTGTTAAAAAAAAGCTATCTAAATTTCCAACAAATAAAATATAATTTAATTTAAAAGCTAAATTATCAATGTGAAATCTTTTCCTTAACAAAATAATAGCACCACCTTGATGTCACTATCATTTTAATCAGGTACACGCAATAGTACTTCTTCTATTAGCTTAATTATCAGCATTATTGGAAGTTTGTTAAGTACATTCGATTAAATAATTCCTAACTGAAACTGAAAAATTGATGTATTAGGATGAGTATGACCTGAATTGGTTCTTATGCAATTTTGAACGTATGAAAATTACGACACTCATAAAAATTAAGAAATTTATGAAATTTTCCTACCCGTAAATTTGTTGTTTACAAATTGGTAAAATTAAAAAGAATCTATTTTTGATGCCAATAATTAAATTGTTATCATCGGATAAGAACAGAAAAACAAATGCTAGAAATGATATGAGAATTAGTTGTGATTGTACAACAAATACTGCGTACGTCTATAATATCCTCAATGCTTTTGAATGGTTGGTAAATGAATTTTATATTTGTAAGATTTGCTGAAATTTAGAAAAGAAAGAGAAACGAATAGTTTGCAATAAATTATTGCTGTCGGAACTTAAAAGTGATTAGCTGTTTCAATTGATCTAATCCGTTCCGACCGAATGATTATCCGATGATTTGATTATGTTTGAATTAGCTTTTATCATTTAAAATGACATGCGCTTTTATGACTTATTGAAGAAAGATGAAATTATACGGCTCAATGCAATTCTATCACTCAAATTAGCATTTCATTTTTATCAATTTAAATTGCAGCATTTCCTCGCTCCATTTGTTTCTTAATAAATTTCCCTTAGTCTTTTAAGATATGAAATCGATCGGTGTTATTATCTATGATTCTTTCACCGATTATGCGCTGTACACATTCATAATTTCTCAGATTTAAGAATCACTAAAAGCGCAAATTACAAACGTGATCAGTGGCGGAAATGTCTTAATTCAATTACACTTTAATAGCAAAGTATCGAAATGATATAATAAAGTTTATTTCGTTTATTAAAAATTTCCTTTGCTATATTTGCTAATAAGATCATATAACTATTTGGTGTACAATGGCAATGTCAGGAAATTTTATAACATTACTGATTCATCAAAAGTTTCTGCAAGGTTAAAGATGTGATTTTAAGACGCAATGAAAACTATCATATCACAATCTTTGCTGTATCTTCTTGTGTAATAAATTAATATGAAAAACTATCTTTACTTCTTTCGAAAGTATTTTTTTATTTAAATTCTTTTTCTGATAATAATTCATTTTTGATATTAATTCATTTCTGAATATTAATTCGCTTCTGATATTAGTTCATTTTTGATATTAATTCATTTCTGAATATTAATTCGCTTCTGATATTAGTTCATTTTTGATATTAATTCATTTCTGATATTAGTTCATTTCTGATATTAATTCATTTCTGATATTAGTTCATTAGCTCATAATATTTTCAATTGAAATATTAAAAGAAAACAAAATAGTGAAGTGATAACTATTTATAACTATTACAAATTTTAGCATGATATAGATAAGTTAGTATGTACGGTATATTTCTCTATTTAGTGAATCATTTCTTTATGATCACTTATTTTATTACAACATTCTTTCCTGATACTTTTTTTATAATGTCGAAAGAAAAATAAAATTTAATAGTTCAAAACTTCCTTCTCTCTTTTTCTTTGTTATTGACAATTTCATCAAATGTTGATAAGAGAGGTTAACTTATTTATATCATCGTGATATTTATTGATTATATCAAACATGATTTAACCATTTTTAATCACTTAGAATTAATTAAACCATAAATTCAATTAATTTTTAGATAATAATTTAAAGCATATGCTTGCTATTTATCTTACAATTTTATTCTCGTAAATTTACATCGATCATCAATAATGATACAATAATTTTGCAATCTTTTCTTTTTTGTAATTATTAAAAAATGTTATATTAACTAATTAACAATTATAACGAAACGATTGTTACAATTGTCAATTCATTAATATTCATCAAATTAGTCATTTCATTTTTTACCGTTTGCAATCATTTTTGCAAGAATTAAAATTAATTTTTCCCTTTCTGTTGAATGAATGACTCATATCTATCATAAAAAAATATAAACCAATCAAAGAATCGAAATTACAATCATTTGAACAAAAATGAAAAAGTGAAAAATGAAATAATTTGTTACTTTGTCAACGATCCATGCACTTTTTCAAAAATTCCATTAAATGATCGATCGAAGAAGCACAAATATTCTGTTGGAAAAAAAAAAGATAAGATTTATAATATTTTCAATTTAAAATTGACTCTTAATATTTCAGTGGATTGTTTCGTATCGGTCATAATTAGCAAATAATTTAATTTGTTTATTTTATTTTATATAATTTGATCATAACTGTAAATTGTTAATTAAAGTTTTCAAATTAAAACAATACCATTTGCATTCTGCAAAAACTTACAGAAATATTTTAAGAAAATTTATTCATCTCACAGTTATGTTTTTATGATATATGCACAGAAATGATTATCGCATAAATTATTTGATAAAACAAAAGCTACTGAAGTAATACAAAATAAAAAGAAAAATTATTGAACTTTAAATAATAGTAATTTATAAACAAATCGTTTGAATAGAATGTAATCCGATAATTAATAAAATCCAATTTCCTTCAAGACAAAGAGAGAACAAAATAACACTAATTAATAAATGAACTATTTAAAACCATTGTATTTGCTACACTCCCGGGAAATCTCTGCAAATTTCCCCCGCTGCTCATATTTTTGCAGAAAGCATAAAAATCTTCGGGAGAAAGAAAAGAAAATTGGGAGAATGTTAAATTAAAGAGTGAATTAAACTGAAATTAAGAAAGAGTGAATTTAAACTGAAATGAAAAATCAATGCTATTCGTTGAGAATCATTTGGATGGATGTAAAATCTAAGTATCGTACGATTGATAAACTAAATAACTTTTAAAACTTACAGTGACAGCTAGTTTTCCTTATCTTACTTTCATTTTGGACAAAGAAAATCTGAACCATTTGTACAAGAAAAAATATTAATTTCTTAATTTCAACATTCCTACTCTTTTCCCACTTACCGTCTTTATCTCTTTTCAAAATGATCAAATGAAGAATTTCAGCAACGAGGAAGTGGAAGTATCGGAAGAAGAAGAATTCAGCAACGAAGAATTGAAAGTATCTGAAGAAAGAAAAGAAAATTTGGAGACTGAAATTACGGCATCATTCTCATAGATTTGTGTCGAAAAAAATTTTTCTTTTAAATATTTAAAAGTGATAGTAAAAATGCTTGAAACAATAGATAAGAAATTTAATGGCCAATAATTTTATATTTAATTTACTCCTTTAGTTTTTCTTAATTAGAAGTAAATTAAAAAGGTAAATTGCAACATATTGTTGTCGTGATACAAAGTTTGCAGAAAAGAATGAAACGCAATTAATAACTTTTCATTGCAATTTTCTGATTCAAGAAAGAGAAAATCTATTTATATAAAATTTATGCAAAATGATTCCTCTCTACATTATTAGCATTCAACGAATAATTTGTCAATTTTATATTTCTTCTTGCATATGTGATAAGATATCAAAAAAGCAAATAAATAATACTTCAAAAAATGAAGTTTATAATCAGTTTTAACTTCCTGATTTCTTTGCTTTCAATTGTCTTATAACTTAAATTTTAACATCTGAAATGATGAAATTTAAATTCTAAATGAAATTTGGTTAAATATACTTGTCAAACTTAAGAAAGATTAACTATTATTTATTTTTGGTAGATTAAAATAACTTTTCAAAATTGATTAAACAATTGAAATCCAATTTCGATTAATCTATTAAATAAGCGTTTTTATATAGTTAAATTCAATTTCACATAAATACTTTTTGTATTCCTACTAAAGAAATTTTCTGCTATCTAATGAAGTCAAACATTAAACAATTCAACTCTATTACAGATCCTATAGAAACTATGAAATTTAAGAATATTTACCCACTGTTTGTAAATCCAAAACAAATCTTAAACTTAGATAATATAAAATTATAATATAATCATAGCAATAGTCAAGCGAAATTAGTTAATTTAATTAAAATGGTTTGTTTTATTAAACCTTTCAGATTTGTTGATCAAAAATAATGCTTCGTACTTTTCCACATATCTCAAAAAGAATTTTAAATTCTGAAAATATGATTAAATATTTTCTTCTATTGCTTTCGCTAAATTGTCAAACAAAGAACCATTCGTACTCATTTTCAATCTCTCTTCCTTATTGTGATTTATGCAAATTTGCATATTCAAATATTTATATATAGAAGGCCTAATTTTAGTAGTTGTAATTGTTGGCTTTATTCAATGATTCATAAAAAAATTTCGAGTGAATGGTTACTCATGTCGAAAATTGAAGGAAATAGCGGCAGAAATGTTAATGATGAAGATGGCGTAGATAATACGTTAACAATTAAGTGTTTGTTTGTTTTAAAGTATTAAACGAAATAATATCCTCATTTGGGCATTTTTCTAAACTTTTCCTTCTAATTAATTTATATATTAAAATTTGAAATGATAGGATATGTACTTCTTTGCAGATGCCTAAATATAAAATGTTAAGAAAGTTTGTAATTCTTACGAATATAATACAGCTTTATTTGCTGTACAAGATAATATTAGTGTTTTATAACTGTAACGATATCGTTATAATAGTAAAATTATCAATAGTAACAATAATAATAGTCATAGTGATAGCAATCAATAACAATAAATAATAATAACAATAATAACAATCAATAATAATAAATAATAATCATAATAATAGCAATCAATAGTAATGATTCACAGAACAAGAATCGGAATATTTGCTTATCATACAGAAATGAGAAAAACGAATGGATAGTATTATATCATAACTGAATAAATGTTGAGCTGATAAATATTTTTTAAATTAAACTTAACGGAAGAGTATTACTAATGATGGCTAAGTAATACTTGAGTTGCTAAAACAATGAATGAACTAATTGATATATATTGCAGGTGGTGGATCAATTGATCAGGATGATCACTGTTTTGGGAGATCTGAAGAAGCACAACCGATAAATGATGCAGCATCATCTCCAATGCAACCGAATCGGATAGAATTGGCAGAAAGAAAACTTCAGACATCGAACGGAAATAAAGATATCTTCACACGTGTTATACATTTTCGTGAATCCGTTCACGTTGATATTCCAAAGTATGCTTTTATTGTATTGTTCCAATTAATATTTTCATTTTACTTTATTTTTTGTGTATTATAAGAATTCTCAGTTACATCAATTCTTAGACATAACAATATCTTTTTTCGTTTTAAGTAAAATTTAAGTAATTAATGTATTTTAAAATCTATGAGAAAATGATTAAAAGAAAAAGTAATGCGATAAGATTAATTAAAAACGTTTTAATTAATGATTTAAATTAGTAACATTTTGATTTATATGATTTTCAAAATTCTGGCACATTACTACTGCACAATTTTCCGGATAATTTTAGCACCATTTTTTAGACGTTGCAATACGCTATCTTAGTTTACGTAAGTTACGGAATTTTACGTGTGTTTATAAGTATAGCAAATGATTCTCAATCATTCAATAATGTAATTAAATTACAATCGCTAATATAACTTCTTGAAAACTGTTGCATAAAATATATGAGAAAGAAATAATACGGTAAATGCAACTTCCAACTTTTTAGATTTTCAAGCAATAAAAATAAGTTAAAACAATAACTAGTCATCGAGTAAAACAAAAATTAATTAATTAAATTAAGGAAATAACATGATAAATGAATAGACGACGAATAGATTCACGCTTTCGTACGTGTAAGGTAATAGCGTACAAGTAGATTCACGTGTAAGATAATATCATATGGGAAAGAAAAGAAAATAGAAAAGCGTAAATTGAATTGAATTATTCGTCATCTAAGCAATCTGTCTCAACTACCGGGAAATGGTTCATTTTTGGTTTTAATTTTTGAAGTAAATTAATTGAAGGAGAGGACAAGAAGACAGCCGAAAGAAAATGCTCAGAAATGTTACCAACTTTTTTTTATAATATGCGAATATTGCATTAACACTAAATACAAATGCAAATTACCGAAATAATTAACGGAAAAGGAAATGGATTTTAAAAAAGGAATTATTAAAATAAAATTGCAAAAAAGGATTGATGACATTATTTCTTTTTGATATTGGAAAAAATACTGCTTTTTGAAATATCTGAGTGTTCTACCTGTTCAGGTTAAACCGGTTCGTTATTTGAAACTCAAGCAATAAGCAAATATATGAGGATGTAGTTTTGTTTTCCGGTAAATAAGTAGCATATTTCCTGAATGGAACGAATAATGTTCTATTGTTAAAAATTTTTCATATGAAATGATTGAAATTGCGATTATTAACGGAATTAAATTTGCAGCTCACCCAAAACAGTCTCTGAATCATCTAATACGGAGAAAAGAGCATGCCGTATTTGTCAATCGGAAACCGGTGAACTTGTTCGGCCATGTGCTTGCACGGGAACTGTAAGCTTTTCAATTCATTTAGTTTAGTTATTATTAATTATTATTTATTATTAATTATTATTAATTATTATTATTGCTGTTATTATTATTAATGGCAATTCATTTCCATTCTCAAGTATAATAAAAATTTTCAATTAAAAACAAAAAAGCAAATTGACAGATGGGAGATATTCATGAGCAGTGTTTAAATGAATGGCTATTACGATCTAACAATAGTGATCGATGTGAGATTTGTCAAGAAAAGTATTCGAAATCTGGAAATATTTTACAGCCTATATGGAAATGGCAGAAACCAGAGATTGAAATGACAGTTAGAACTTTGTCCTTTCTCTTATCTTTTCACTTTCAATCTTCAAAAAAATAAATGGACAAAAAATATGTTTGAATTATTCAATGCTTTATATGAAACAATTATTATGGTGGATTATTTGTCATCACGAATTTTAATCTGTCAACAAGTTTCATTAATAATTTAATCAAAAATATCTTGGCTAACTTTTCGACTAAGTTAATACTTTTTTATTTGATTTTAAATTTAATGATAAATGCATAAAAGAATAGAAATTATTACGTACATTTGCTTTTTTCATGTTTTTTTGCAGTGAAAAAAATAAAAAAAGAAAGCATTATATCAAAATAATGTATTTTGATTAATTTAAAGAAAAAAAGATATCGGGAGATGTTACTTAAATAGATAGTAAAATTTCTTTCGTATCCAATCATTTTAAGATTAATTTCAAATTGTTAACAAAAGAAAGATATCATTGATATGTATGTAATTTCATTAATTTATATAAATAACTGAATCAATAATAAAAGATATTTTGTTATCCCAATGAATAGAACAAAAGATTAATTCAATTTTAATTTTAATTAATAATAATTTTAATTAACAATCTCTTAAATGGCTAATTTAAAAATCTCTCAATGATATGCAAAAAAAATTGAATTAATAAACGTATGATTAGAATGATAAGATTGATAATAAATAATTCAGCAATATAAAAATTTTGTTTATTTAAATTAATATCAATGTATAATTGAGTAATTATTATTAATATATTCAGAAGTAAAAAGGAAAAAGACATAATATCTAATTTTAGAATATTGTTGAAGCATCATCAGTAATTTGCTTATCAATATGTTTATGGTATATGATAACGCTTACTATTGAACGGGAATTTTTTGATCGAGTTTTTATAGCCGGTTTACCACCACGTTCACCTGATATTGCACGTATATGTAAGTGTATTTGTTGCATTAAACTTAGCTGTAATAATATTTTCCATCATTTTATTCCTATTATAGCATCTTTTTAATTCTTATCATAACATTTTTATCATGATATTTTTTAAATTCTTTTATAACACTTTTTATCGTGATATATTTTAATTTTTATTATGACATTTTTATCATGATAGCTTTCTAATTCTTATCATATTTTTATATAGACTACTATATTTTAGGCTAGATTTCTGTAAAACCTTATACCTCATTGTATATTATATATTTATATTTATTATACATTATATATCTTATATTAATATATTTATCATAGAAAATGTTATATGTTATATATTTTCGTTATAAATTTCATTTATTTATGCTTCAACAATAGGACGATAGAATAAATCGTAATATCATTGATTTTAGAAGATTTCAACTCTAAATAACATATATTCAAAAATAACAAAAATTTTTTTTGTCATTAACTAATTAGTTAAAATTTATTATTTTAGTGGTAACATTTTTAATCATATCAACGCTAATTGGTGGTTTATTGAATATAGCAGTGCGCATTTGGCATTATATCAACAAACAGCGCGCCATACGTTTCATTGATTCTGATTTCAACAAAAAAACAAATAAATAATAATTCATTGATCGAAAACAATAATTCATTATTGTGAAATTATCTTCCCTTAAATCCATATTCTTCATCTTTCTTTACTTCATCCTATTTACTGATAAATTTCAATCTATGCTCGATAATAATTAAATCTTTTTGGATAAATATGCTTGCTATAAAAAAGTTCCAAAAAAAAGTCTTTCAAAAATTTGAAAACATTTATTAAACATTTTGCGCCAGCTATATTCAATGAAATAAATAAATGCATGTAAAATTATGATATATTATGTGAAATAATTTATAAAGAATGAATCAAACAATGAACAACTTATTTTTAAAATTATAAAACTAATAAGTGAAATTTTAAAAAGAATAGGATATACAATTGGCACATGAATTATAACCCAAACTGATTTAAAAGTTTAGAAAAAATTTTAGACAAGAAAAAGTTGATAAATTACAAACTATGATATTCTTTTAAAAGAAAACAAAAAAAGTGCTTGAACTAATGTTTATCATTGATCTAAGATGACACAAAGATTTTTCACTAAAAATTTAATTTTCAAAAAAAGATGATGCAAGGCAATACAAACATTGAAATCATATTCTAACAGATTTTTGATTTCTTAAAAAATAAAAATGATACTCGTTCATATTTTTAAAAAAATGCCTTTGGTTGGTAGTTGTTCATTAATACGCCTGTATCATACTGTAGTAAAGCCTCTTCAACTAACTTTTAAAAATAAAAGTAAAATTTAAAGTTTCACCCTTCTTATTTTTACAACCTTGAAAGATATGATAAATTCGCAAACGAAAACAAGAATTCAAAGACATGAAAAATTTGCATGCAACAATTTGGAAACATTTAAAATTAGAAATAAATTTGATCATTCAACAAAAATAATCGATAAAATAGATGATAAATAGATGTAATATTTGGGTGGTAGTCGATTCATTTTTTGAAAAAAGTATAAAACTAATAAAACGATATTTCAAAACAAAAAGGAAAATGAGAAGTCAATTATTTTGAGTACAAATAATTTTGAATAAGCAATATTTCCTTAGAGAACTTTATCAATCAAGGCTTCCATTCCTCGGGCGTCTGCTGCAAAACGACGTATTCCATCAGACAAAAGATCCGTTGCCATTTTATCTTCATTCATTTCATGGCGAAACATCGGCTCACCAAGTGAAATCTTTTGCATTTCAAATGATTTGGCTGCAATGAATTCTTTTCAAATTGTCAGTCTGGCACTGAATGATATGATTTACAATCATATCAATTAATGATCAGCTTGACAATACTTTTTTTTCTAAAGAAATTGAGAACAAAATAGCTTTGCATGAAGAAAACATTCTCGTCGAAAAAAATATGTGAATATATAATATACCTTTTTCCGGGTTCAAAATTATAGGAACATTTTCGTTGTCAATTGATAGATCCTTGAGCAATGGCGCACTGCAAAAAACAAATTACACACTTGACAAGACCATTCAATGGCCAAGCATTGTATTTTCAGAATCCTTTTAATGGAACATCACGTGCATAAAAGATAAAATATTTCCTACCTGATCGTCATTAGATCACAACCAATAAGACCTTTGATTTCATCAACGTTCCGGAATGATGCTGCCATAACTTCTGTTTTATAGCCATACTTTTTGTAATAATTGTAGATTTTCCGAACATTCTAAAGATATTTAATGATTTTCGAAAATCAACGGATTTATAAGACACAAAAAAGAAAAACTCGTGCTTTCCTTTTTTTATTAAATTTAATTTAGCATTATTTAACTTAACACACCCAATTTCAAATTCATCTATAGAAATATGGGAAACCTGGACACCAGGATCTGTTTCACGCGTATAATCTTTCGAATCAGTGTTTTTCAAATACCAATCACGAATTCGGCCAACAAACGGAGAAATCAGTGTTGCGTTCGCCTCAGCACATGCGATAGCTTGATAAATGTTGAACAGTAACGTCATATTGCAGTGTACACCGTGCTTACTTTCAAGTACGCTGGCATTAAAGATATGTTAACGCAAACAGAAATAAATAATTTAAAAAACACAGAAATCCAATTGTATCAACAGAATTAGTGTGTGACGTTGGATGGATAAAGACAAAAAGGTCTGAATATATTTTCAAGAATGCACATAAATAACCGAAAAGTCTCATTAGAGACTTACAAAATTGTTTCTTAAATTAATGAACTAGTTAGTCGTATTTTATATTAATATAAGAGTTGTATAAAGTCAGTGAAATTCCGAAGAATATAATACAAATATCTCTGTATATTTGACAAGGTGAGCTAACCGAGCAGCTTGAATGCCTTCCCAAGTTGAGGGTAGTTTTATTAATACACGTTCTTTTGTAATTCCTTCTTCTTCGTATAGCTTTATAATAGCCAATGCTTTCGCAATTTGTGCATCTTTGTCAAAGGCTAGTCTAAAAATAAGAAGCATAAAATTTATCAAATATGTCTTTCACATTAAAAAATACGGAAGGTTTTGGCAATCTTAATTTCATTTAGCATTAATGTCACTTCATTTAGCATAAAATCGTAAGTGGTACTTGATAAGCTGCAAAAGACTAAGCAATGACCACCACTAAGGTCAGCAAAGGTAAGAAAAAGGAAAATAAAAAAATGTGTAGTGGTGAGATGGAAACAAAAAACCTAGCATCGACTTCCGTTGAAACACGTCCAGGAACAACGTTTAATACTTCTTTTCCCATCAAAACCGCTATTTTGTCCATGGCCAAGGCACGCAACTGTAGAAGGCGAAAAAACCATCAATATTAACTTTCATAGAATCTACTCCTTTATTCATGTAAATAAATGGAAAGAAACGCCTTCATGGCTAAACCTTTTCTGGAAAACTAATAAGTTGTGTTCATGGAACATGCAGTCATACTATTAACATATAAACAAATATTATATGATTGAATTATAGGTTTGTAAGTTACTACCGCTATTAAATATATAGAAAAGGAAAGATAAATTTTAATAATTAACAAACTTCTTGCTAGTTACTAAAATTTTTCCAAAATAATTAACAAATATTTTAGCAATTTTTCCAATAATTAACAAAAATTATTGAAATTTCAAGTAGTTAATTTTAGTAAATAACAAGCGTGATTATTTCACGAATTCAAAAATTAACTCAAAATAGTTTTCGGAAAAGTTTACTTCTTCACGACTTAATGATGAACCATGTTTTTTGGCATATGCAACGCCTCCATCCAGAAAACGCTTATAGTCATCAAGTTTTGATGCTGCCAATAGAATGGATGGATTTGTCGTGGCATCCACGGTGCCAAACTGTTTCATTACTGCAAAAAAGAAAAAATCAAGAATTTTTAAAAGCAGAATTTAAACTTAAAATATTGATTTCGAATCAAGGAAATTTTATGGACAGAGAATCTACCAATTAATTTATTTAAGTCTGCAATTTGTTCAAATTAAACTTGAAGTTAAAAAATGATTTCTTTAAAACCAAAAATAAGTTCTTACAGGATGTTTTCTATTAGAAACCGAGGAAATACCACAAACAAAAAAGTCTATCTAATCGTTTTTCCAAAAAGGGATTAATCTAACCATCGAAATCGACAGAGTCTGCGACAACTTTTGTCGACAATTTCATCTGTTCTAAAACTGATGCCATAGTAATGTCTGAAAAAAGAAGAAACTATTAACATATGAATTATCTACAAACAGAACTAGTTTTGAAAAGTCGATAACTTTTACAACGAAATACTTTTTTGATAAAAAATTTTTTGCTTTTAATGTAAAAAAAAAAGCTCACGAAATCCATTCAATATTTATCATTCGTGTCGACAAATTTTTAAGTAATTCAAATTTTTAGCGTAAAAATGTAAAAATTTATACTGAAAAGCAAAATTTAAACTAGTTAAAAATTTATCAATACAAAATTATTAGAGAGAATTCATAAATTCAGGTGTGATTTAATTAACACCGATCTAAGTCCGATTTAATTAACAGAGGAAAAGAGAGAAATTCTCAATTATTGACGAATGGAAAAAAGCATACAGCTCATCTATCCTTGCATTGGTACCTCATTTTGTTTTTTTTTGGATCTAAGAAATCAAAGAAATAAACTAAAATCTAAAATAATGAATAGTGAAGAAAGTGAAATGAAATAAGAATTTTGAAATTACAATTGTTGATACTGTATAATATTTTATATTTTTATACATTGATTATATTATAATTTCTTACTTTCTCAATATATTTGTTTTAAGATTCTATTTCATAGGTTTACAATGAGAATAGAATAATTTGGAATGAAAAAAGAAAAGAATAAGAGAGCAGATAGTATTTTCGAATAAAATAAGGATATGCACCTGCATAAAATACAACAGTAAATGAGAGGGCAGAATAATACAGATAAGTGAACGGAAGAGTGAAATGGAATGAAAAAAGAATGAAATTTTTGGAAAAACAAACCGGAAAGTCCGATTAAATTCTTTCCGACTCCTTTTAAAATTCCGCTACGTGTACTTCATACTCCCGACCTAACTTTCCAGTTTTTTTTGCAACTTGATCCAGCACCTGGCGGGTTTGCGAAATAAGGATAAGTGTTCGGTTGATTTCGGCAATTCTACTGATTGTTTTACTGCTAGGGTTACAGGTGGTTTTACCGATGTTGCAGGCTTTCATCAACATAAATGTTTCTTCTTAATTTTTCACACTGTTTATGAAGTAAGTTTCATCATTCCACTGTCTCTCTCTATTTATAACACTCTCTTTTTTTGCTCAAACGGTTTATGTTATCAAATATTTTATAAGTGTTAGCAATTTTCCTAAATCAGCATCAATTTTCAATTTTGTTTTTCATGTACTTACATACCATAAACTTTTAACGATTGTCAGATTAAAGACTTAGCCAAATTGACATTTAGCATGTAATACGTGTTCGAAACGTAAGACACGGTATTGATACTGCTGAAGAATTCTTGGCATATTAGATTGAGATATGTATGAAATACAAATTTAACAAGGAAGAAATTCATATTGTTTGATTAAATAATTTGAGATATAAAAGTGAGAGAGGGAGAGAGAGAGAAAAAGATGATAAAGAGGAAGGAAAAAAGTAATTAGTGATACAAACTGAAATAGGTCGAAGGATTGAATTAAACTAAGACAAATAAGCTTTGAATAAAATATATTAAAATGTTTGGACATATTTCTCGATTGGATAAAATAGCAAATAAAATTTAAATAAGTTAAAATGGGTGAAATAGGGAGTGAAGCCAACAAAGGTATGAACGGAATGAAATGTTAAATGACGAATGAAATTTTGCACCGTTAGAACAAGTATTAATTACTAAGTTTTCTCGTTTCATCCTTCCAATGGCAATTTCTCTTATCAATTGATTTATTTGTTATCTATCGATACTAATAGAAGTTTAATCTTTGACCGCAATTTTATTTTATTTAGATGGTTGAACGAAAAAAAGGAAAAACCGGTTCTATACCAATTCAAGCCATATTTACAAAAATATATAAATGAAATTAAACTTTTCTCAATGAAATTGAACCTTGTCATCTCAAATATCAATGATTCATAATTCTTCATTACTCTGTACTTACTGTACTTACTATCATTCACTATGAAAATTTATCATAAATTCTCAGTTGCTCGATAACTTCCTTCATTATCATTGAAGAATTCATATTTGCCATCGTTATTTTTTCCAGTTGGTAGGAACTTACTATTGCATCGAATTTAAATTTCAATCAGTTATTTGAGAGAAGCTAAAATATTTGTTTCATTTTTCACACTTCTCTTTGCGACATATATTTGAAAAAATTGTAAAGATGTAGGATAAATAATTATTCATTTTTAAGTAATTAATTTCCTACTTCATTTTCTGCACATCATAGATCTCAATTTTTAGTTTTTTCTTGTTAATGATGAAATTAAGATAATCAAGATAATTGTGAAGCTCATCAAGCTGTAGCGTTTTTATGCAATAATTTGAATATACTTTTTTATAGTTGCTGAATCAATCAATTAACTGGATGGAGTAATTTGCGTGAATGATTTACTGATTTATTTAATGGATGACAGACAAGGATCAGTTAAATCTACGAGCAAAAAATAATGGCTCATATTTCAGTCCCGGAGGATATTTATGAAATTATTGGAAAATTAATGTTTGCTTATGGCGATGAAGCTGAACCGATTGAGACGTTAGTTTTCAACCTAAAATTTGAATTTCTTTCACGGAAATCATTTTCAGTTTTAATTGGTTATTCTTCAGAGTTCAAATCATTTATGAATTAATAATAACTAATTTTCCGTAGCGGATGCATCATATAGGAATATCGAATAGCTTCAGGGTGCTTTTAGAGACTGCTGATCTGTTAACCTTGCTGTTTATTTATAATTCTTGAATAATACTATGTACTGCTAGACTTTATTTAAGTTTTGCTTATGTTTTCCACGTTTGTGTATCTTTATTGTTTTATGTTTATGCGGTCTAGAAGCGAAATCTCTATGTTAATGTTTCATTTCAGTTATTATCACGATTATATAGTTATTGTGTTAATTTTATTTTTTTTTCCATTCTATGCATTAATTACGATTCATGACTAAAATTTTTCAATGTGCTTTCACACTGATAAAGAAAAGATTTAATGAATGAATAGACTGTTTTAGATGTCAGCAATACGTCACCGATATTTTGCATAATCAGATAATGGATACAATAAATAGAGCCAAGAAATGTGCAACATTACGAGGGTGAAAATTTTTATTTTCTAAATTTGTTCGTTTTTAAGTTTCGAAGCTTCTTTTCAATTTTATTTTCTTTTAGCTGTAAAAAAATCGAATGTGTGGATTTCTTATTTCTTCTTCGCAAAAAACCATTCCATCTTAGTCGGATTTATCGTATGGCTAAAGTAAGTAATCTATTTTTTTCAGTATCTTAAAAGGAAATTTGTCGTTTTGGAGGATTATTGCTATTTATACTTCATACATTTTTGCAGTCATAGAAATCATATTATTTGAATTGCAATCTATTGCTTATGTAAAGACAATTTTAATCAACGAATTCAAAATTAGGAATGGAGGGAAAGGGGGATATTTAAAAATGAATGAAACCTGTATATATTGTTTTTTATTCAAAACTGTGTTGAATTGAAGAAATGTGAATTTTTATAGTCAGCAGATTTGTTAAAAGGTTTCAATGAAGATTATGATACAGAATGTGATATTCTGGCGGAGGTTCCAACTAGTAGCTCAGATTTCTGTGGAAAAGAGTTTGTTATTAATTGATTTCCTTAAATAACTACTTTGATCTTTTAAATTTCCGAATAACTTAAATATGTTTATAGGGGCGTGATTATCAATATGTTATTGAACTGATAGTAATTATTTAGCTTTTGGTACACTCCAGTGAATAATATGAGTATTAGGTGTTATATGATGAAATGTGTGGGAAAAGAAAAGGAGTATAACAGGTAAAAGAACACATAGCTTTAACTACGAATGAACTTTATTGGAAGAATATATACGGTGACTGTCATGTTATTGGGATATTTGACTTCGTTGTAGTTGCGCTATTTCACCAAATTTGTGTTGCATATAGTGGGTATTATTTTACTGTAATGTGGTTTTTATGATAAGCAGTTAGACTACCGTTGATTGACTCTCTGAATTTAGTATTGAACAACTTATCGATTTGTCGATGAGTGAGTGCTATCAGTAAGGATTTATGACATTAAGTAGAAAAATGTTGGCACTTTTTTTTACTTTTTCAGATTGTTTATTTGCATGTATATTTTATTTCAGAGCACAGTCAATCTATGACAGTGTTGGATTATTCGATGTAACGGGTGAACTGCAGAGATATCTGAAAAGTGATGTAAAAGTTGATGATGAAAAACGTGAACGATTGAAACGGTTGTCAGAACGTACGGCATTGATGGATGAAGACGAATATAAAGAATATACGGTAGCAAGGACATATAGCTTCTGCGCTGGACATGGCGTTAGGTATTAATTCGATATTAAAATTCTTATCTTGAGCTATGATCTAATAGATTATCTGAATGGATACGATAGCAGCCGAAGATACGTAATTGAATAGCTGGGTTTCTTCTGGAAAGTCTTCAAAGCATATCCAGCATGCAATTGATTATTACGTAAGGCATTATAATGAATAACAAGCCAGCGTCTGAAAAATAGTATATTTAGATAAAAAAAGAGAAATTATGTTTAATTTAGTTCCTCGAATTTTTGTAAGTTGCAGGAAAGCAAAAATTGGTCGATTTCTGAAATGGCTGGGCGATCCTGAAATTACCGCAAGTGCTTTAATGATCCTGAACTATCTAGCGTGCGAAATTATTTGTTGTTTGGTCGAGGGCGCATTATGGTCACGAAGGGAGGAGGGAAAGAATCATTTCGTTGATATTTATCCCTTTAAAGCTTTGCAACCGAGGCATTACGAGGAATCACTGCGGAAAAACAAAGCATACATGATTGGTGGTAATATTGTTGTAGGGTCATATCAGTATTGACTTACTTGAAAATAGTGCACAGTAATGGGAGAAAAGTTGCAAGGAAGTAAAAGCAAGCAAGTTGCATTATCTCTGTGTACGAAAGTTTGAAGTAAGCAAGTTTGCATCATCCCTGTGTACGAAAGTTCTTTTCAGCAAGTTTGGATAAGAACATAAGAACCACAGCTGTAACTTATAAATAATTGAAATGTTATCTTCGATGATAGCGATGTCATTTTTTGTGAGACTGAGATATTTTATCCTGTTATTGCCTTCTTCAAATCTTTAATTTGTTTATGTGGAATGCATTCAAGTTTAAATAAAATCCTTTTTGTCTTTCATTTGAGTAAAGTCCTTGAAATGAATCAGATGAATGAAGTTTTAAGGGATGTTGATTCTTTGTAACTGAAAAAAATTTACAAATATTAGTGCTAGGATACTCCATTAGAAGGAACACGCTTGAAATAGGTTTGAATACAGGAATCGAATATTGAAGAGGGTAGTGACATAAATTTAAACAAAAGATTTAAATTAAAATTGTAAAGAAATAAAGATGAAAGATGAGTTGGAGAAGGGATGTATAAATTTGTATTGTTAGCAGAGCTTCGTGTTTGACGATTTCAATATTACATGAAATTTCGAGTTTAGTTACAGGGAAAAGAATCAGAAGTAGATGTTCGACATCTTTATGCATGATGATTTTTGAGAGAAAGTTAAAGGTTCAATTGTTCTAATTCCATTGCCATAATTGCATAGATGATACATATGTGCAGCGCTGCTCCAACATGAAAACACTTTTGCATTTATTTAATTATTTCATAGCATCGAATTATTTAAATTAAGTTTTATACTTGTTAATTATCATTTTAAATTTAGGGAATTATCATTTGTCATCAAATAATTTATTTTATTTGCTTGTCTTAGAATATGTTATACAAAGGCATTATTGATGAAAATGAAAATAGAATAGGAGATTTATTGGAATATAAAAGAATATAAATTAATTATATTAATTCTCTACCGATGTGTTCCAACATTTGTACCAGTAAGCTAAAGATCCAGATCCATGAATGAATGTATGAATGAAGCCAACCGATCCTATCCGTTTTCACCAAAAAATGATATCAATCTTCATTCTCATATTTCGTATAAAATTCACTGTAAAATCATTCGATCATGTAAATTATATTGCCATTTCTCTCTTTATTAAAAGAGATTTTTCGTATATTTTCTTACTCTTGAAATGATAATATTTTATCACTGATTACATACATATATATATTTATGATACTAAACTATATAATATACGATATGAGACTATACCATATACGATATGAGAATATTAAAAATACAGGTAAGAAATGTTGATTTACAATATTATAGTACAACAAATGTTATCTTCTTTTTTACTGTCAATAATTTAAAAACAAAAAAATGCTATTCATAGAAAAATATCATCAATAATTGGAATCATTGATTTAATGTTGTTGTTTATAAATGAATAACATTTAAATAATCTTTCTAAATGTCTTCTCTAAAATAATTTTTCTAAATGAAAATTAATTAAGTTAAACTTGGGAAATTCATTATCATTTGAAAATATTACAAAGGTTTACTAATCATCACGACAAATTTTCCAGAAAGAAAATGTAGTAAATTTGAAATCGTTGCGGAAAGTTTGAAATTGTTGACAAATTTTTCAGCAAAAAAATAAGATAAGCTTGAAATCAATCAAATATTGCCATTAAAAATTTCAACAAGAAAAAATCTTTTTTGAAAACGTTTTTGTTCTCATTTACAAATTTAAATAAAATTAAAATTTTTTTAATTAAAATAAAGAAAAGGAAATTGATTGTAAGTTTCTATTTAATACAAATTGCAATTAATTGAATAAAAATGATTGTCTATTTTGAAATGAATAATATAAATAGATAGATGTGATAGATATATATTAAATTATATAAATAAATAAATGTGATAGATATAATATAAATAAATAGATGTGATAGATATATAGTGATAAATAATATCGGCAAGAAAAATAAGCCTTCCGACGACTTCCAAAAAAAAATTATAAATATGTGATGAAAATGTCTGATAAAAATGATATACTATCTGTTGATAACTTATCTTATCTCAAAAATCTATCAATGATACTATCTGTTGATAATTTATCGTAATCTCAAAAATCTATTAAGTATAGATGTTAATTATGACTTTTAATTAGGTTAGATATTACACACTTACTGTGAAAAATGATGCAATTCATAATTTATTACCTTATTATATAATAATAATTATAATAAAAGAGAAATGAAAGAGTTGAAAGAAAATAATTGCAATTAAATAATTTATAAATTTGTAGCATAACTATAAGAAATCAATCGTTCATTCGACATTTCAAAACTTTCATTTTAATCGCTTATTTGTTCTTCGGTTGATTAATCTTTTATTTGATTGAATGTCCAAATGAACGATTAATGTTGAATCAGAAGAAAGAATATTTCAAATAGGACAAAATTTCTATGTATCACATTATATTAAATATTAAAAATATGACAAAGCAAATTCAATCCAATCGATTTGAGCTCAATAAAAGTATTCGAATTTATAAACACTTTGTGTTAAATCGAATTGATAAGGTTTTTGACCATTTTTATCATTAGGTTTTTAAATTCTTAAATTTTGTTGATTGTATGAGGTAAAATTTATGCATCAGTAAGTAAGTGATTCATCAAATTGCAACAATGTGATGTAATAAAGTTTGCTGAGTAAAAGATCCATCATTCTGGTGGTAATTAATATTGAACATCAATAGTTCAATCATAATTACATTATCTATTGAATGATCAACTAATTATTAACTAATTAGGACAGTTATTTTTTTCCTTTATTCTGGAAATTTTTAATCCACCCGATATTATGAGATTTTTCTGCATACAGTAATTTCTTGCATACTTTATTGCGATGTCAGTTGTGAGAAGAAAGTAAAATATAAGTGTATTATTTTAGATTCTATTGTAGATACTGAAATCATATATAATCATTTTTATATAATTATATAATTATTTATATAATTATATAAAACATAAAAAATTATTTATATTTTAAATTATGCTTATTTTATAATTCGTAGTTGCATTTTATATAATTATTTTATGCTTTAAACTATGAATTATAAAATTATTTAATTATTTTTATGCTTTAAACTTATATAATTATTTTTATGTTACATTTTGAATTTAAAATTAAAAAAAAGTTACCTGTTAGCTAATTCGTTTTCTCGTTTGATTTTGCGTAATAATTGTTTATGATGAAATCTACAAATCTTAAATATATACTGTTTTTTAAATTGGAAATAGTTTAATTAAGTAAATAAATAATTAAGCGAATAATAAATTGATGAAAAGTAAACAAACATGTAAGTATTCAAATAAATGAAATAATGAATGAATGGGAAAATAAATAAATTTATATATAAATAGATAAATGAATTAGTAAATGAGTATGGAAATAAATAGGTAAATAAGTAATACATAAATAAAAAAAAAATTTTCTTTGAATTATTAGAAATTCACTGGATAGTCCCATACCATTAAAGAATTCTCGGGCTTAATTTGCTAGAAATTTTCCTACATGAAATACGATTAATCGGTGGGAAAATTTTCCATCATTTCTTTTGAATCATTTAAAAACCATAGGAAGAGGAAAAACCGGGAGAGCCATAGAAATATGTCTCTCTCTCTCTGATTCTTTGTCCTTTATCAATTCCTTTCACGCATTATTTCATTCTTCTCACGTTTGTCTAATCGCCTTGTCTAAAAAAATGTCTCATAAGACGGGAACAACGGAATTTTTTAAATTGAAATTCTGCCGGTAATAATAGGTTTGAATGGTTGGTGGGTTGTGAAAGCAGTGAGGTGGTCTTGGATAGCTGGTTTTGGATTAGGAGTTTTTTTCTACCGTGACGGTATTGTCGATAAGGCAAGTTTTCTCGTATTGTAACGAAGGAGGTGGAGAGAGAAGGGAGAAAATAAATGGTTATAAATGCAGTTGCAGAAATCTTATAATGGATAACAAGCAATCAACGAAAAACGATGATGGTGTTGAAAAAATTACTAGCACTAATACTCGACCAAAGACTCGGGAGTGGACGCTGAATGATTTCGAAATTGGCCGTCCTTTAGGCCGAGGCAAATTCGGTTACGTATATTTGGCTCGAGAAGTTGAATCCAAATTTGTGGTTGCCCTCAAAGTTGTATACAAAGCGCAATTGGGGTCAAACAACTTGAAGCGTCAGTTACAGCGTGAAATTGAGATTCAATACCATTTGAGGTGAATATTTGAGGTTATCCATGTGCAGTATCGCTTTGCGATAAAATTTGATGTTTATTGCTTGGGAAAAACCTACATGATTGATTTCAATTTTTGTCGTTTTATCGCTCTTATTTGTTTTAATTTGAATCTGTGCAAGAAATTTATTTCATATCAGGTCGAAATTTAGTATCATTTCAGACATCCCAATATTTTGCGTTTATACGGATATTTCCATGATAAGGATCGTGTTTATCTAGTCTTGGAGTTTGCGACTAGGGGAAGCCTCTTCCAATATCTTCAGGAGGTAAAACGATGATGCAAGTTATTTATTTCTTGAATAGGAAAAGCTAGAATTGAACAAGTTATTTCATAGTTGCTTATATGTGAAGATCTGTATATAGCTCTTTATATTTGCTTGATTTAAAAGTAGAATTTCAATTCAGATGAAAACATTTCCACCCGAGTTAGCTGCCAAATATATGTATCAGCTCGCATCAGCTATGGAATATTGTCAACAAAAGAAAGTGCTGCATCGTGATTTGAAACCTGAAAATGTTCTTATTAGTGCAAGTGGTGATTTGAAAATCTCAGATTTCGGGTGGTCGGTGCATGAACCATCATCAAAGTTTGTTATTATTATTAACATAAGTTATGAGGGCACGAAATTTTTGTCGAGTTTATGCCGGTCATACTATTGGATGTTCAAGCTTCAGTGGATTGCCATGGTTTTAATGAACACTTGATAGATTACAGTAGTCATAATAAATATTTTAATTTGTAAGAATTCTTCCAGAAGGACTACAGTGTGCGGTACATTGGATTACTTAGCGCCGGAAATGGTTCCGAATGAAACTCATGATTCTATGGTTGATAACTGGTCTTTAGGCGTCATGCTATATGAATTCTTAGTTGGAAAACCAGCATTTGAGGCGAAAGTACTCTTTTCTTTATCCTTTTCTTAAGTTGCTCGTATTGTCGATAACTATAAGTGAGTGTAAAATCGTTGATAAATTCGAAGACCTTGGAAATTATTTTAAACTTATAGTTCTGCGTTTGTTACATCGATCTATCTTTCTAATGACGGGCTTTTCTAATCCAGTCATTCAGGTTAAAAGTCGTTTCTCTGCTTAGCGCATTCCTATTTTATATCATCGAATTACTTCAGACATATCAGGATACGTTCGATAATATTCGTAAATGCAAGTATACTTTTCCACCTGAAGTACCGGATGGTGCAAGAGATCTTATATCAAAAGTTCGTTTTTATTTCACTTTTGAAAGCAAAATTCTCAATATCCAGCCATTATTTAGATTTGATTTGTTTAAATATAATGAGGGTTTTATTTTATTTACTTTTCTATTTTCTTTTGGAACTGTCCCCTTATATTGAAACAGAAATTTAAATTATATGCATTGGGTGGTAGTAAAAATTATATTTTATAAAGTTTTTTGTGTCAATTTGCATAACAGATACTGAACTATTTTTGTAGTTATTGCTAATCTTGAAAATAATTTTGATTATTCGACCAAATTTTAGCTTCTACAAAAAGATCCAACTAAACGCTTGCCGCTGAGGGACGTACTGAACCATTCATGGATACAAGAAATGATTACAAAAAGTACCAATCGAGACTCAGTGGCCAAAAAACGTCATTAAAATGAGGAATATAGCCAGTGCCTTTCACTGCAATTACTTAAATTTTTTGGCAGCGCTGCGAAACTATGATATCTACTGGAGTTAGGAAACGATAGATATCAAAATGGTGATTATGTATCTAGGAAGTTCGGTGTTTTGATAAGGGTGGAAAATGAATTGCTTTCTTTATAGCAGCATGGTTTGAGTTCCCCCAATTTATCAAGAAATTCTCTATAGGAATGGAATAAAATTAATCTCACTGTGATGTGAATTTTATTTACCTAGTTTATCCTATTTCCAGCTTGTGTAGCATTACATTATTTGTGTTTGATTTCCGAAATGTTCACTATTTTTTTGTCGCGCAATTGACTTAAATATGACAGATATCTAAATAAGTCTTTTTCAGTAATATTGTCGGTGCTAAATGACATAAGGGAAGTGTTTTTTCTTATGATAGATGTTTTTGGCAGTTGTTATTTCTATTTAAACACGCGTTTAATAGTTTTCCCCTTCCATACAGCACGTGTCCATAAGCTTTTTTGTGTTACACATATTCAACGGCTTTTGTTTTTGCGTGACATGTTTGACAGCTTTATCCTCCAGGCGACACATGTTTGATATATAGAAACTTTACATTCCATGTTAAAACGTTTGATAACGTTATACTAAGCAAGCAATAATCCAAGATGGGATTAATAAGGCTCACGTTAAGCGAGTGAAAGAAATAAGCATCTAAAATAAGCTGTTTTTAGCGAGCATCACATAAGCACTTGTTCATTTGAAATTATGTCAGAAAGGCTGGCAGAAGGGAGAGGTAGAAAGAAGATTTAATACTCTTTACAAATTGCCATGTCTTTATCAATTTTTTCTGTACTAAATTCTGGAAGATTAGCAGTGTACACTGATGACAATCCTTGAAAGAAGCGAAAGTAAGGCAAATGAGATACAAGTCGGATGGAATTTAATCTACTTGAATTCCATATTTTCGACATTTTGTGGAAACTTTTATTGTGGGTTTGTTTCATAATTAACTGAAAATGTTAGACATTGTACTCAATGTACCTTACCTTAAATTGCGCTTGTGCCGTGTTTTCCTGTCTCTTTCCTTTTGTTCGTATATTTGTTTCTGTTTTTGATATAAAGTCGAAGTCGGTACTACAGTTATGTTATTAGGTAAAATAAGTGTAATAGTAGCACCAGCACAATACATTTTCAAACTTTAATGCAATTGAATCATCAGAGATGATTTTTCCGCCAAAATTCATACTTTTGCATACATATTCGAACTGTCTACTTTTTCGTGAATATAGAAATCAAACGGGTTATGGATTTGTGGTATCGCATAGTCTAGGGAACGATCTATGTATATTTCATTAAGCTCTGTATGTTTGTTATGCTTGTAGTTTTCTTTAGCTATTATCAAAACATGTTTGTTCTTCGTAAGTAAAATTCTTATAACATAGGACGTTTCTGTCATCTCTTTTTTGAACAAATTTTATATATACGTTAACGATTTATCTCAATTATAATTGGTTCATATAGCTGCACATTTTAACCTTTCCTGTCCCTTCTTTTATTACTTATATGATTCTTTATTTGTAAATTTAAGTAAACATGCGAGAATCCACAATAAGCCAAAGTGAATAAAACAACTATTAGAATCGAATTGCATTGACTCATTAATTTTGAATTTAGATGTTTGGAGTGGTACCGCAAATTGGGCGCAACGCTGTTGTAGGTGCTGAATGACTTGGCACGGATTCATTGATCTAGTATAACAATGTTGAAACTGCTGTATAAATTGAGGTTTCCCTCTGCCACCTGGAAGACAAGGGGGAGAGCTTCCTTTGTAGTCTTTTCTAAGTACTGATCGACTGAAACTTCCCTGTGGCACAGGCTTAGCTTTAATTGAACATATGATATGATAAGCGAATGAGATTTTTTCCTTTTTATCGGTTGACTGGTAAAAAGGAAAAAAAGTTTCAGTCGAGATAAAATACATATGTTTTACATTTTTCTTATACAGCATACATCTATAATTGCTCGGATTTTTTGTCTTTCTTCTCGTTGTTTTTACTTTTCTAAGAGACCAAAATTTTTGAGTTTTAGGATAGTCCAGTAGAGGACGTAAGGAATTCTAATTGTTGAAGATGCCGAAATCAAAACGTGAAGTGGAAGGTAATTTTTTTCACGAAGTTTATTTATATTGTATTTCTTTGGTATCCAATTAGATCTGCAAGAAAGAGGTTCGTAAGCATTTATACATTCCGATGGAAAATATATATTCATTTCCTTAACTTCTATGTTCTCTTTCTTTGTATGACTATACTCCGATGAGATTTTGGTAAAATACAACGAGCTGAAAAATTATACTTCAGTGAAAAAACAAAAAGGATTAGTCTATGTCGTTTGTTACCGTTTCATTTCAACTTTCAAAATTTTCGTCTGTTTCTTATGGAAGCTAACTAAAGCTTAATCAATTCGTAGCATGTTGTACCTTTTGTTAGATGTTAGTATCACTTAATTCTTAGTTTAGGCCCATAAATAAAAAGACAGCATTCATTTTTTTTTGTTGCATTTAAATTCTTACCATTACTTTATTGTTTTTCAGTGTCTTTAACCCGAGTAAAAAAAAAGACGAAAGAGCAGAAAATAAAGTTAGTTGATGAAATACGAAAATGTGTCGATACATTCGAGAATTTATTTGTTTTTGGAATTGAGAATATGCGTTCAGTGAAGTTCGTTGAAGTAAGTTGTAATCGTTGTAAAATGACTTGTTGTAAATTAGATAGTATTTGAAGTATCTTATTATCTTATTTTAATATCTTATTTTAGCTGATTGCCAACACAATTGGCTGTAAGTATTGTCGACGCTATTTCATCAAAAATAATTTCACTTAAAGTGCTAGATTTGGATCCCTTTTTACGTTTTAGATTAGGACTTTTCAAAAATGAGGGATTTTCAACCTCTTTTTTTGTTGCGCAAGTTAAATATTCAACTGAGTTAGTTAAAAGGAATGAGATGGCATAGGAAGCTGGTTTTTTGTTGTTTATAGCAGTTCTTTTTCATAATTTATGCCAAGACTTTGTAACTTGTGGAACAGAATTATTTCCTTTTTTTGTTATTTTTCAGATTCGGCAAAAATATAAAAATAACTCACGTTTCTTTTATGGTAAAAATAATGTTATGGCGATAGCGCTGGGCAAAACTCCATCCACAGAATATGCCCATGAATTGAATAAGGTTAGGATTAATAGTTTTTGAATTTTTTCAGTTTTGATTGTTGAAATACAGAACACAAAAGAATTTTAATTTTTTTTGACACGTCAGAGATGCTAAGGGAGATATTCAGTCCGATAAGTTTATATTAATTTTCCGTTAAGGTCAGTGGCTTGCTGAAAGGAGAATGTGGTTTGATGTTTACAAACGAAAATCGAAAAGCAATAGAAAAGTAAGTCTTTATTCATTTTTTTTTTAAATCGTTAATAGATCGTTATCTATCAGCTAGCATCTTTGCTAAGGATTTTCCACTGTTTGGAAAACCTTGTTCTGAATTATCATTGGATCTTTTCTGAAACTTCTTAGTTTTCTGAAATGTACATTCTGTTGTGTTTCAGATATTTCAATGAGTTGTATATATCGGATTTTGCTCGGTGTGGTCAAATTGCAGTTAGTACGATTGAATTAAATGAGGGACCGCTAGTGCAGTTTCCGTTTTCTCTAGAACCACAACTCAGGAAGCTTGGCTTGCCAACCAAATTGGAGAAAGGTAAGACAAGTCTCGCTCTGGTACCATTATGTCTAGCTTCGTGTAACATAATTTATTTTTTTTTGGTAAATCTGAAATGCACAAATTAAATTAGGGCATGAGTTAGGACACATTTTCTGGTATTAGCCGCTTCCATTGATATACAATAACAACTCTCTTGAGATGTTCCATTCTACTTTCTCTATCAGAGATTTCAATTACTAAATATTCGAGTTTAAATTTCAGGTGTGGTGACGCTGATATCTCATTACGTTATTTGCAAGGCGGGTGAAAAATTAACAGCCGATCAGTGCAGGTTATTAAAGTTTCTTGATTACAAGATGTCAACATTTCATGTAAAACTTTCTGCTCATTGGTCTAAACACAAAGGCTTCGTCTACATTACCTAATATATTTTGGATATCATTGCCTTCGTGTTGAAATACATAACAGTATGGGACATTGGAATCTTAAATTAGTGAAACCAATTTCTTAAATTTTATTCTCTTAAATTTTCTTAAATTTAAAATTTTATCTCTGTTAAAGGAAAATTGATTTGTTGGCCTGGTAGATATGAAGGAAAATCTACCTTCCCAAATATATAATATTTAAGCTTAATTTTACTTCGAACTGGTTGTTTCTCCATTGCTTTTTCGCTATCATTTCTCCATTGCTGAAAAAATGATTTCTAAGTTTTAAAAAGACTTCCAGTCTAAGTTGTTTTTTGCCATTTCACTTATCACATGGACGTATAAAGCAGGTATCCAAATATTTTTTTGTTATTGTTCACGGAAGTGATATTTTCGTTGTTGTTATTGTACCTATCTTTTATATATAAATTGATTTGGAACTGGTGAAATAAATGGTTGAAAATAAGTGTCAAATATGCATATAAAGTAGGAAATTGTGTTATACGATTATTCAACTCTCTTTTTCAAGTTTTCAATGAAACGTTTTTAAAATACATAGAGCCGCTGTCAACAAATACATTTTAAATGGTACAAAAAGGTCTATTCTATGTTTCGTATTTCAGTATGCTGAAATGTACTTTGAAAGGTTTCAAAGCTACACTGCACAGAAGCATAAAACAGAGGTTGGACATGTGGAAGTTTGGTCATTTTACATGAGCATTGTGCATGCGCCATTGACTTTCAAGCTTGAATAACTGTTTAACTTCGGGAGTCTTTTGGTACCAAACTACTTCACCATTATCCTGTCCTGAATTAGCAGTTTCATTCCTTTTTCCTCTCTTCTTTTTCAGTTCCAATCTTACGTTTCATGGAACATGGGAGCAAATGATGGTGGTGATTATATACAGAACTTTTCAGCTATTCTTGGAAAAGTTCTAAGGTAACTGGTGATTTCTATATTTTTGACTTAACATAAAAATGAGAATTTAAGCCATGAATTTGAATCTTCAGAGGTAGGTTTAGGTTTGCAACTCCTTAGTATAAGAAGATTTGGGACTGATAATGTGTCTTATTATTTGACGAATTATATTTTATCATAGCCATTTTAAAGAGAATTTCAGAAGAACGAAGAACAAGAAACCACTCATTAGCAATGATCCATCTTCTACAGCCATCCAAAGACAACCACAAACAGCATCCATTCCTGCCAGTAATATTTTGCAAATTTCCATTTATACACTCCTTTAGATTTTTCCAGCTAATTTTTATACAAACGAAAAAAATTGTATCAATTGATAACCTTACAGTGTTAGATTAAGCAAAGAGAATAGTTTGATTGCTAGCTTTACGTATTATTTTTGATGAAACCTTACCTTATTCTGGATGTAGTTCCGATTACAGCCGGAATTATAAATGAACTAGCATCTCTAAAAAATTATGGTAATGAAAGTGTCACTGTGTAAGCTTATATGCCTTGATGTATATAAGCTTCTATAAGTCAATGTTGGGAAGAATTGATTCATGAGAAATATTTACCTCGAATTTACTAAGAATTTAATCAAATAATTCCATCTGGCGAACTCAAGAATTTGAATCATTTCATCCTGTTTACTATCTTTTCAGAAGTTTCAAAGCAGACGAAAAACTTTAAATTCAGTGAGAGCAAAGCTTATTTTGGTATTGATAAGCGAAAACCATTGGATGAGACCATAGTGGTAGCTTCGCAGTCTTACTTGGAAGCTTTGGATTCTGCAGCTCACAAACGAAAAGTAGTTGTATCATTTTTAAGCAGTTTTGCGGCAATATGTTTCTACTTCTGGTATTCCAGGTTGGTGACTTTTCCATCAGAAGTGCTTTTAATTGTATGGTTATGATGGCTACGGTAAGCCGGAAAATGGATCAGCGGGTTTAATGATGTAAAGCAGTGAGAAATATTTATTATTGAGATTAACTTCATTCTAATAAGCTCATTTGCTGCCGAGCTTTTTGAACTTAATATTTCACTAATTTCTGAACTTCCTTTTCTTGAGCTCTTTCTTCCTTTTTTCGTGTCTGTCCTTATGCACAGTATTTTCATTATTTATTAAATGAAAGCTTCTTTAGAAGAGATTGTGATGGATTCCTGAATGCTCCAAAATACGAAGTAGTGCCAACCCTAAAAAGGTATGCTTTACGCCAACAAATAAAAGAAGCACATAAAAGTGGAAAAGATACGACATATCTTAAAGCGGCGTTGGAATATGTTGATGTTGAGGAAGCTGTGTACCGAGCCGAAGAGGGTGCTTTCACGCTAGATAGTTGAATTTCACATTGGTCATACAGTCATGTAGCCTTGCACGTCTGAAATATAGTAGATATGGCCTTGCCAATATCCACTAAAATTCCGATGATTTTAATGCAGTAAGAAATCCAACATTCTACTAACTGCCTAGTTGATGACGACACCATCGTAGATTCGCCAAATTTGACGACTGAGTCAGCAGATTACTCCATTTTATTCATCTGATCATAAGACGATTGTTACTTAATGAAAAATGAAAACGGACGACCAAAGGATTTGAGGCAGTTTTTCGGCGCTTAGACTCCAATTTTTAATGGTAATCTCGACATCTAGCGCTACGAGATTTCCTCTTGTTTCAGACATTCAAAGCCTTAAACATAGGACAGGAAAACTAACTCTTCACTCTTTTTTAGGTTTGTATAGTAGATTCAATTTACAGAGAATTTCGAAAACTGGCTAATTTTTATTGTACGGTATTTTGCTGAGATATGTTTTATTTGCGTACACTTTCAACAATCATAGATTTCCCTCGCTCATCATTTAATGGAAAAAATAATTCTGCACGGTCCTTATCCTGTCATTTTTGAATAAAAAGAATTAAGGAAAAAGGATTAATTACCTTAAGTCCGATTCATACCATAATGTACTGAACTGCAACAACAGTGCTTAACGTAATATATATGCATGCTATAGGTATGCGTTTGTATTAGTGAAAGTTTGACGAAATATCTTTATAACTTCAAATTTAACACAAAAAAGCACTTTTAACCATACACCCCCTCTTACAGTGTATAAAACTAAACAAGACATTGCAACAGGATAAAACGACGATCAAGGAAACAGCGACTCTTGCGACGTATTTTCATAGTGCCCTAAGAGTTGTGGAGGAGAAGGTTTCGAATTTGGTATCGAATGATATAAAATTTAAAATTGAATAAAAAGTGAACACAAATTTAAACGTAAGGAGGGCGCTGTTAGCACAGTCTATTAACCGGGAAAAATTCCCACAGAGAAACAATTACATAAAAATCGAAGCATAAATATTGAAGATACATACCAAAGATTTTCGGTCATGGAAGAAAAATTTCATATTTTACCCGTGATTTTAACATTAAACCAACAAGAAAAGGTGGGAAAGATTTGAAGAACCCAAAACTTGTATACGATGCTGCAAAGAAACTTTCACGCTAACTAATCATTCCGATTAACAAGAACGGAAGACGCAGAAAAAGGAAAGAGAACCCTAGACAAATTTTTCGAAAAATCTTTTACTAATTTATAAGACATTAAACTACACAGTACTATTGCACTGTAGCAATTAGCAAAACAAAATTTTTTTTATAGAAAACGATCTTGTTTAGTTAGTCGATCGAAGCAGTGCGCAAAGTTTTTTGATGCAAGCAGTAGAACATAAGGGATGGAGAGAGGGTAGAAATAGGGAAAGGGTAAAACGACAAGCCATGATTACGAGGATGCCAACACTCACACGGTTCAAAGATGTCAGATCCAAAAATATGAATGAAAACTATTCCGCGAAAATTACCGCGACATTTCGGCATGACTTTCAAAGTCAAGTTTGGAACAGGGAAGTATAAAAAGTGACAGGAAGTGCCCAATGGCTCCAGCAATTTTCAAGAATAGCTTTCATACGATGATTACTTCGAGATCATGTTGGCTTTGTCAGTTTGTCATAGTTTCTGCTTTTGTCGGACTATCCAGTTTCAGTGTTTGCATTGCTACCATCATGATCGGATCAGTTAGAGGTGGCTGTGTTGCTTTAAACTGCAGAAGCTGTTGACGAACCTGAAATTTATCATTCGATAAAGAGTGATAAGCAGCCAGACTTATAAAGCGCTATCAGACACAAATTTGCACGATTACGCACAGTCAGTTACAAAGTAAAATAAAGTTATATTTCAATCCTCATCGTATCTATCTTAAAATTATTTGGAAGAGAATACCTAAAGACACAACTCATGTTTTGAAAGGAATAATCACTTAAAGTCAAAACCTTTGTTACAGAAATAAGGGAGAATCATTCAGTTACTTTCTTCATAGATCATTTCTTTAAAAATCTAAAAAAAGAAAAAAACCTTCATGTTGATAAAGCCAAGAACATTTTTGCCTTCGCCTACTAGTGGAATGTACACCAATGTTCCATTATCTATTTTGGTCGGAATCTGCAAAAGCGCGAAGCTGATTTCTTCTACTTTTGCTAACTTGAAGTTGTACGGAACAACCTCTTATTCTGTGACGACTCATCCGTTCAATACTTACCGTTGCTGTGGATAGTAACAGAGGAATTTCCAATGTTCTGAAACGTACCACACAGCGTATTGCAAATTAACATGGCGAAAAGAAATAGTGCCTAGTAAAGACAAAGAAATAAATGTCAGGAATTGCGTATTTAAGTAGTAAATACCGAAGTTGTCGACGGAAGAGAAGGAAGCATTCAGCTAGTAAATATCACGCAAAGGAATACAGCTTTGGTGAATACATGGCAAGGAAGAATCAAACTATACAAAACCAAACGCAAATACCAACCTAAACACTAAATATAAGTACTTGCCTCAACATATATCCGTAAATAACAAGAGAAGACAAAAATACCTTAATTATTTGTCCATTATTATTTTTCGCCCATTCTATCATCTTCTCTTTATCGCAACCCGCAGCAAAAATATTATCCCGTTCATATGTATGTGCAAGCAATGCTGTACCTGTTTCCAGAAGTTTTGCACGAAGTTCAGGATTTTGCACAAACTTATGTACTATTGCATGATGTAACAATACTGGACCCTGAGTACGCTTCCATTCTTCCACCTGAAAAATCCACCTTCGAAAAAGTGCCAGCCACGTCGACATTTCTGGATTAAATTAGGTGTTAGAGTTAATGCAATGTTTTGTTAACACAGTGAAATGGTATGAAGACTTTATTGAAACTTTCAAAGCTACGATGCATTAAAGTATGACTTATTAAAATTTAGAACTCCTTAAAATAGCCGGCGATCTCTTATAAGTGTAAAGTTTAATTAAAAACAAAAAATTAATAGAAAAATAGCACTAATAATTATACCTTTTCTGATGAAACATTAGCTGCACGCAACAATTTTTTTGTGTGAGCTTTAACGAAACCAGCGTCAGGTATATTACGAAGTTGTGCAGCAAGACGTGCGCCACCCAATGTATACAGTTTACAAGCTTGATAATAATGCTCCACGCTCGGATAGTCATGTCCATCCACCGTTAGCGTAACCTGTTTTAGAAAAAATTGACAAAAAAATGACAAGAACACATATTTTTTATTTGATTTACCCCAGCCCAGTGTTTGCTAATTGCGCGTCTGTTGTTATAGGTACAAAAATAATTCCTGTTTCGAGCATTCTAGCAAGCGCTAAACAGAAATAATCAGAATGTTAGAATATATATCTGCTCTTCGATCTTTCTAAAGTCCATGAAACACAACAAAAGCATTGCGAAACACGAAGTTAACATTTAGCATCCTGAGCTGAATATATGTCAACAAAATGGCTATTAAACTTAATATTTTTATCATATATAAGGGAGAGAAAACAATGAAACCCATGGATTGTACTAGAAGAAAACACATTAGAGAAGAAAAAATGTACACTAACAGGATATAAATTTGAGAGGAAGTGCTGACGACCGCTAAAGCAAATCACTTCATCGGCATCTACTTTGTAATCATCGGTGTCCACATCGATTGGAACATCTTCAACCTGAAATCAAACAATAGTTATGGATCAGTAAAATCATTTACTGACTTGAAAAAATCATCTGATTAATCTGGATTAATTGACAGGTAATATAATCCTCTTGTGTTTTCCCAACAGCAGTAGTAAGCCTCAACTTTCATAACTTTCAAATAAAAAGCATAGCGAGAACTTACAGGAGGTGGAGTAAGTGGTTTTGGCGGTGACCGTGGTCCTATTTCTTTCCTTCCACCCTCAAAACTAGTGTACTGCCGCCCACCTGCCTTATCCGCGGTAAAATCGATATTCCTTCCGCGATAAACTCCCTGAAACAACCATTTTTAGTTGCATATTAAAATACCAACAAGTCACTTTTCTCCAACAGAGTTCAAATGTGAACATGACCAGAGAAATGTTAAAGAAAAAGCACACAATCCCACGCATAACAACTAAATCTTAAGTGGCTCACTTACGTAGAAGTAACTTCGGGATGGCCATGGTTGAGTAAGTGGTACCAGTCCAGCCGAATCAATTTGCCTATGACGTCGTGCAGCCTTTTCACGAGCAATTTCCATCGCTTTAATGGATGCAGGTGTTGACATCTCAAATAATCCTCTAAAAAATCAATCAGGAAAAATAAATCCAGAAATGTGCAACCTCGTGTGAATTTAAGATATAACAATATGAAATTCGATTGCACTTTGTAAAGCTTAAGCATAATATCGAATGCTCTTCAGGCCAACTGTGAATATACAACAGAGGTTGGATTCCAGAATACATGTGGTAGGCTAAAAGTACTTTTGTACAGCATATGAAATAAACTAGGCTTACAAATTGGAGCCGAATAGGCATACTTGCTTTTTACATACCTTGGCTTATAAATTTAAATTTATTGAACTGAAATAATAGATCATGAATTTGTATAAAAGTTTCAATATTATTAAATCAATGCTTAGTAAGACTAATCGATCCACTTAGGTTTCTTAGAGTATATTTTATAACAATAAAAAAGTTGCAATTTTTTGATAAAATTGTTGGAAACAACAGAATTGTAAAAGGCTTAGCTCTATCTTAATTCGATACTTGCCTTATCAAGAAAAGAATTAAACAGGCAAGTGTTTTACAATTTTTTCAAATCCATTTTTTTCCTCTACAAACTTAATTTAATATATGTATTATTAAAACATATGTTCAAAATCTGCATTGCAGTACTAAGCAGAAAACGCACAAAATTTAGAATCCTGCCGCAAAATTTAGAAATGGTGAAAAGAAAAAAATTATTTGCCAAAAGTTTTTCTCATTTTAAAAATAACAACACAAGGAATGATCAAGTCCATTGATGCTTACCATGAATTTCCAAATACACTCCAGAATGCAATTCATGTGTAAGAGAAATGTGCTGATAATGATTTAACCTGATCGATCTATGAATCAAGTTTACAAAAATGCAATCCTGATCAAATTTATTAAGTATACGATAACTTAAGTATGAAGAAAGTCTATGTCATGCACTTCAACTAATTCAAAGATTGGTTAACTCAGCAAAGATACTATACCACAGAGAACTCCACCTATGACCTCCACAGCAGAGACCACTTTCTGGCCACAATATACTATCAGTTAACCGTATACTATCCCATATATTCAACTAAACAATGTCGTCACATGAACACATCGCAAATATAGCAGCACTTTTTGATAGCTATCCCAAGAAACTATCATGACTTGGTTGTCTGTCGTTTGAAGTGAATTAACCGAAATGTATTTGCATTTATTTGATCTGAATTAATTGAAATATGTTTACTTCGACTAAAATAATTAGAATGTATTTACTCTATGCTATCGAACTGAGAAATATATTTGAATTGAATTAGTGGAAATATATTTGCACTTATGCATCTAAAGTGAATTAATTAGTGAATTAATTACACTATTGTGAATTAATTACACTATAAATTGAATTAATCAAAATTTATTTACGCTTACACACCTGAATTGAAACAATCGGAGTGTATTTACATCTATGCATTTGAACTGATATATACATTAATGAAAAAAGAATTTAGTTCAAAATTTTATTGAACCAAATTTATTTCGAATAATTCGGAAACGAAATAATTTTTTCTAATTCTTAAAATCATGATGATTCATCCTTTAATAGGGTAACAATCATTGTCATTTTAAATCAGCCAATTCTTGATTGTAGCTTAATCGTTTTAAATTCTATCCAAAATGTTTTATATAATACTTATTATTAATAAATACTAATAATTTTTAATACAGGTATATATATATATATATGCTCATAAAAAAGCCAGCTAATTAATGGTATGAAATTTGATGGTACAGAAATTTGACAACTATTTTGTTGGTACATGCAAATTTCATTAACTTGGACGTTAAATATACGTATACAGGTGACGGTGATAGAGCTTTCAAGGCTGCTATTTTTTATAGCATAGAATATAATTCTCACTATATAGTGTCAAGTGATTTTAGTTATGATGGAATAGTATTAAAGAACTATTACTATTAATAATATGAATAGTTTTTTTTATTTCTCTCTTGATTGTAGCCTAGTCGTTTTAAATTCTATCCAATAGCAAATTAGGCTTCAATTTCTTTGTTCCAGTAACTTAGCATTCTAGCAGTTGATAAATTTCATTTTTACAACAATTATCAATCTTATACAGAATTTAGCAATGCAAAGATTTTTATCGAAAATATGAAAGATAAGCTTGAAAAGTATAACAAAGATAATTAATGAAATGATTAATTAAATTAATTATTTTAGTTTGTTTAATTTAGAATAAAATTTACGATGCGACATATCAAGTTTTATTCATATAATGAGTCATTATCGTAGTAGGAAAAAGACTATATCGAATTAATCATAAATATTAGTTGCAAAAGTGAATAACGTCGTAAAAAGAAGAGATCTCAGTTATTATGCAAATTATGTTGATGGCTTGCATAAAGAAACATTATTCGATTCACATTCACCACATTATCGTAATGGTCGGAATTGGTCCATATTTTTCTCTCGTTTCTTGTTTTTCTGTTTATCAGATTTGATTAGCTGACATTATGCAAATTTTCAGAAAGTTCAAATACATACACTGAAGGAAAATGCAATAGTCTATTTGGCAATATAAATTAACAAATAATTTTTGATACTAAAACAGAACATAAAGTAATAGCTGGATACATTTGCAAAAGATATATTTACATCGGTTATAAATTAAAAAATATTAATCAATTTAGAAAATAAAAAATTTAAATTATATGAATGGAATTATATGAATAATATGAATTATATAAATGGAATTATATGAATAATATGAATGGAATGGAATGTAGAAAAATGATCACGTTAGTATCGAAAAATATTGATGATAACAGAATGTATTAGGTCATGTCACAATTTAGCTCTGTTACTGTACAACACAGTATTACGGTGAGATTATGTTATAAATGAGATCGTGAAATTTTGGGAGAAAATACGATAGCAAGTGCAGTAGGTTCTCCTTCTCTATATGACACTTTCTATAGATATTTGAGATAACTGATTACTCCTGATTGTTCCATTAATTAATTCTTCTAATTACATAGAGTAAAATAAAAGTAGTAAATCCGTTTCCAATGCAAGCAGAAAATATTTATTGATCTTTCAATTATTTAAAAAACATCGTTCATCGTTTATTTAAAAAGCAAGTTCTATGACATTAGAACTCCTCAAACTTTTAACTTTTATTTTAAATAGAATAATTTGAAGAAATTTGATAGGTACGACCTATTGATCATTGCAGATCATTGCAGGAGTAGACAAGTAGACGAAATCATTTGATCAGATTTTCAAGCAAATTCCTTAAATGTTTATGCCTACATTTTTTTATTAAGAATACAACAAAGACGAATATGAAATTTGTAATTTGAGAAAAGAAATGGAACTTAAAATCGTAATGAATATGCTACAGGAACATTGCATACTACAGGAATACTGTTAATTAAAATTTAGGAAGGATATAAAGTAAGAAGTTAAATTATGATGATTCAAGCAATATTTACAGCTTCTCCGAACTGAATTGAAGTGAATAAGGAAGAAATGGATTTCGATAAAATAAAATGGAATAAATATAAGATAATTCGAATTGAAATTGAAACACATAGTTATCGAATAATATAATCGAAAATTAATTGAATGGATTTAAATTTTTACCTTCTGTTGGTTACATTAAGCAAACATATTAATTAAAACTTTCATTTTTAAAAAATTTAATTTTTAAATTAAATTCTAAGTTATACTGAACACTTTCAAAACTTACTCGATAAGTTAATCTTTTCATGATATTTTATTGGATCGAAAAGTAATGTTTAATAATAATAATAATACTAATGTTCAATAATATTGATTTGATAGTGGCATGAATTTTAAAATCAATTCATTTTTAATTTTTGGTACTTTAATGAGGTTAAAGATAATTTATGAATCAATCTTTTTGCTGATTAGGCCATATTTAATTACCAGTTATGGATAAATGCTATAATTCGAAATCCTCTAGAGATTCTAAATTTTTAGTGTATTGGAAGATAATGGATCAAATTTACTATGATTCATTGATTACTTCAGGAAATATATTTATTATACTATTTTTTCCTTTTTCTTAATAAGCAATTTAAAATAAGTGTAACTGATTTAATCGATTAATAAAATTTAATTCGTTAATAAAATTTTAATTAAAAGTTTAAAACAAGTGCAACTGATTTAATCCGTTAATAAATTTTAATCTGTTAATAAAACTTTGAACTGCAATTAAAAATAAGTGTAACTGATTTAATCGATTACTAAAATTTAATCTGTTAATAAAACTTTAATCTAGAATTTAAAATAAGTGTAACTGATTTAATCTGCTAATAAAATTTAATTCGGTTAATAAAATTTAATCTATTAATAAGACTTTAATCCAAAACTTGAAATAAATGCAACTGATTTAATCGATTACTAAAGTTTAATCTGTTAATAAAACTTTAATCTAGAATTTAAAATAAGTGTAACTGATTTAATCTGCTAATAAAATTTAATTCGGTTAATAAAATTTATTCTATTAATAAAACTTAAATCTAAAATTTAAAATAAGTGTAACTAATTTAATCGATTAATAAAAAACAAAATTTTAATGAAAAAGAATCAAATTTCTAAAATAATATTTCGAATTAAATAAATGAAATGCTATAATATTTTGAAATAATTTTTGAATATTACAATTTATTTTAATTATTTGTTTTACCCTTAAAAAATTAGAATTTTAATTAATTCTTTAATATTTAACGAATTTTTCATTTTATTATTTATATATAAGAAAGGAAAGGAAAGAAAAGAGGAAAATATCAATTCGATGAAATTTCCAAAAAAAAGGAAAAATTTTTTAAAGAAATTGAAAAACTTTCATTATCGCATGTATCGTTGATTGATTCATATTCCTATGAATATAATTAAATGAGCTAAATTATTGGATATTTTAAAAATAGCTTTCAAAAATAACCATTCCACATTTTTCTATTTCAGCTCATTTTTAGTATTTAATCTTAATTTGAGAATAAAAACTAAAATTGATTTTCAATTTGCTTCATTAAATTTACCTACTCAAATTTTTCTCCCTTTATTATAGTATGCAAGATCTAAATTGTTCTGAGCTAAATTATTGGATATTTTAAAAATAGCTTTCAAAAATAACCACTCCATACTTTTCTATTTCAACTCATTTTAAGTATTTAATCTTTATTTGAGAACAAAAACTAAAATTAATTTTCAATTTGTTTTATTAAATTTCCCTACTAAAAATTTTCTCCCTTTATTATAAAGTATGCAAGATTAGATGAATAATACAATCTTAGTTAAGCATATTTATTTGTTAACTAAATTAATTTCATTTATCTTATCATTCATATGTTTGAATTGAAATTACTTTCGACCCACATGTATCATTCATTTGATTGCTTTCTTTTTTACAATTAATCCATATGTATCATTTATGTGCAGATCGCTATTTTTGAATTGAAATTATTTTCAAAATTCTTTTTTTGTTGAATTTGAATTATACTATTATTTTTTGAATTATACTAATCATATACCTACTTGGCCAAATTTTTAACAAATCTTTGTTTATATTTAATCAAAATTAGCAAAAAGTATTTGTTGAAATGACTGATTATGTTGCATTCTTACCACATATTTGACGTAAAATTTTATTATCATACGATAAATATAAAATTATTTACAAATCATAAAGTATGTTATAATATTATTGCCAGTTTTATTATCATTAAAAATCAAAGTGATAAAGAATAATAATGTAAATAAATTAAGCGGTACATGGAAACTTATGTCAAAACAAGAAAATAATTTAAGTACATTTTCTTTGTTTTGTTTAATACTAAGGCATAAGAATAATATAATTGAACCTTTCATGCATATTATTAACATATAAACATGAAAATAATGACTAAATATACCATACAAATTTAAATTTATGCGTAAAATACTTTACGTGAAAAATTTACGTGAAAATTTAGTAATTTTAACGGAAAGCGAAACAACTTCATAATATTGAAAGGTTTCAATAATTAATGTATCTTTACGCCTTTTGTTTTTATATTTTAGAAATCCTTTGCCTCAAATATTCTAAATCGAATAACTTGATATATTTATTTGAAGTCGTAATTTATTGTTCTAAGAAATACTGTAAATAATTAAAATCAAATAGATTTTGATATTATCAGCTTTATCTATTACAACTTCAATTAATTCTTTGTTAACCATTAATTTTACTATCTGTTTACTGCAAACGAATGCCACTAATGATTTTTATCCAATGACCTCGTCATTAGCTTCATTTCGTTGAATAACTAAAAGATTTTCTACATTAGCTTTTTTTAATCGGATGAACCTTATGACTGTTTGGTACGACTAGTTTGTCTGCTAGATACCAGTTGTTTACTTCATTATAAGTGGTGCTCATCGAGCACCGCCCAACTTGAAAGGAAAATATAAAGTCTTGATTAAGACCAGAGGTCAGTCTCGGACTTAGAAAGTCTTGTGTTAGGTTGCATTCATTCACTGCTCCTCCACAACTATTTCCTCAGTATTTTTGATACTGTCGAATTGTCGTCATTCAACTGAAATGTTTCTCGCAATAAAACAAAGTTTGATCCCAACCATATTCATTGCTGCAAATCATTTAGATCACATGCCTTTTTTTTACAGCAATTTCAATCAACAAAAAGTAAATTATATAAGTCAGCAAAAACAAAAACTAAAGAGTTTTGTTCATTTTGAATATTTGTGAATGAGAGAATAAATAATGTAAAGTGTTGTTGTTGTTGACAGACGGTGATGAATCAATTGAGCAAAGTGAACTTTTTTGTTATTAAGAAAATTAATAAAACCTTTATATATATATATATACGTATATATGAACGAAGAGAGAAGTATTTTTATCATTCAACAAAGCAGCACAACAAGCAGTATATGCAAATGAGGGAAATGATAATTCGTAAGCTAAAAAGCGGCAGTGGTATGAATAACATTTACGCACTTGATAAGTAGGCATTTTGTGCGCTAATATGGTTGGATGAATAGATAGATGGCTGAATGGAAGAAGGGTGGCTGGAAGGATAGATGGATGATATGATATTTCACAATTTATTATTTCTCTCATAATATTAAAATTAAAAATTGATCACCAATTTAAATTTCTTTCCATTTCTATCAGAAGAGGAAAAGAGAGAAAGGAAAACATTTAGGATTACTTCCAATAAATAATCATTCTGAAATATTAATTATTAAATTTTTTAAAAGATGTAAAATACAATGTAGTGAATAAGAAGAAGCTATCATTGTAGCAATTTTTGAAAGAGTTAAAACTGATAAGATTATTTCCTTTGGATAAATTAATTATCAGAAGTTGAAAAGTTTCTTGATGATAGCATTTTATCATAGCAAAACAATAAACCGCTAGGACGAAGAAGCATATTTATAAATAATAGCTGAATAAAATATTTATTAAATTTATTCTTATGAATAGAAATGAGAAAGGTGATAAGAATTGAATCTAATCATAAATCATAAAAGATAAATGATATACATATTGTTTATTTTGATAGAGCAAAGAAAGAAAATATGCTGAATGAATGATAAATACAAGTAATAAGGAAAACTGATACAAGCATAGAAATAAACAAGTAAACAAACAAAACAAATAAATAAACAAATAGTAGTAAGCGGAAACTACCCGGAAGAAATGAAAAAAGACGAAGTTAAATAATGACAATGATTTAAATTCAAAATTTACAGCACATTTCATATATATCATTTCTCTCTTCAGGTAATGAATGTATAACGAATATGCTGAACAATTGATTAACAATGATTATTATAATTAATATATTCAAAATTATGAAATTTAAATTTGAATAAAAAGTTGAAAAATGAGCACCACCTGTATAAATGAATAAATGAATGATCTTATTCTTCGATTTCTTTAAAAGAATAAAAATTTAGCTATTAATTTTAATTATATGTAAATGAGCAAATAATTAAAAATAAATTTTTTTTTCACTTATTAGTTTTTAATTTCAATAATTAATTTTCGAAATGTTTAGGAGTATTTCAAAATATACAATCTGTTAGATAATTTTTTGTATCATTTTATCAGTAAAGTTACCTGATGATCTATAAAATATAGAAAAAAACTATTTTGTGGACAGATATCATTAATGAAGCAATAATGGTGCCCATAAAATAATAATGAATGCGGTCAACACTGATAATATTGGACGATCGGTTGATCCAGCTTCTGGTGGTTTAGCAATAACAGGTGGCCTGGTTGGTAGCCTAGTTGCTTCTGCAAAATTTATTTTCAAATAAATTCAACACTTTGCATAAAAATTTTTATTGATACTACTTACAACAGTAATGTTGCAATGAATTTTATCTAACTTAGTAAATCTAACTTAGATTTAAAAAAATATATAATATAAATTTTTTCAAAAAAATTTTTATGCTTAATTAATAAATTAATTTGCAACAAAATTTTGATTCATAAAAATTTATCTTCCATTCCGACAATAATATAAAGTGAAATTAGAAATTGTAAAAAATTTTTTTTCCACAAATTTTTTCAACAAATTGTAAAAGTAAAAAAAAAATAGAAATGATTTTTCTTTTCATTGATATCATCGAAAATAATTGTTTATTCATAGGAAATGAATTGTTCTGATTTTGTTGATTAGAGATGATTATTTGAATTAGGAATCCAATCTGTACAACAATTTTTCTATTGCTATCATATCAACAGATACGATCATTCATTTCTATTTACGATAACAATTTTGTAGTAATCGAAAAAAATGCAATAAAAGTTTAAAAAAGAATGGAAATGAATAAATTACAAATAAATAATATGTAGTATTTTGTTTTGCAATAATTATGCATTTATGTAATATATTATTTCTTTTGTAGTACATATCATATATGAATGGAAATTAGTAGCTATGAGTATAATTAATGCTTATTTCATTCTTTTGCAGTATATATCAAATAAAGATGGTATAATTAATAGCTTTCATATAATTAATATTATTCTTTATTGTTTTATAAATTTAAATAAGAGTGTAATTGACAGTTGCAGAAACAAATCGTAAATATCATTTGAACATGGGTAACTATTATCATTCCTTTTTTGTCAGTTAATTTAAAAAGTTGGAACGAAACTTCAAATAATTATTTTATTGTCTTCCATTATTTTTTCTACTATTTTCTTTTGATAAGAAATAATTAATTTATATGTATGAATATGAAAATTTCTATTTCAATTTTTGACATGCATACTTAATCAGTTTGGTTAATATTATTATTGATAGCATTAAAATTCACTAATGTTGAAATTGCAATATATTAGATTACAGAGGTACATTGCAAAAAAGATAAAAGAGAATGTTAAAACCTTCATAAACGGCAGTAGTAAGTCGACCGGTTAATTTCGTATGCCGAACATCTTCGGCTGTAATAATTGGTGCTATAGCTTCTTCATGATCATGTTCCGTATCACCGGATCCTTCAGTTTGACCACCTGAACCTTCACCGCCTAAATCTTCATCATCAGACCATTCCATCATATCATCACTATTTCCTGATCCTTCTACATTATCCATCACTTCCTGTAATCACTTCTTAACTTTATTAATTATCACTTCCCAATGCATGATGATAACAACAATAATGTATTATCCATATGAGTGATTTTTTATTAGGCTAAACAGTTTTATATAATTTCATAATAAATTTGAAATAATTTGTAAACATATATTTGTTTGTTATTATTTAAATTAGTTGCCACTAAATTTAGTTTCTCAGCATATTTCAAATATTATCAGTTTATTTTTCTTCAGTTACAATTCAATTTCTTTCCGGAAGAGAATTACATTATCTTTCGCTTTCACATATATACACAAACATCATCATCCGGTTCGAGAAGTCGGATCCCAAATCGGAAATTTCATCCCTTATCATTTTATATTATTTGCAAATTTCACATAATACTTATTTTATTTTATTTTTTGAAAAGTACAATTTAATCCATTCCTGTTTGTTTGTCCATTTATTTTGCTATGCCTTTTTCAGACGAGAAATATGAAATAGCTTCTTATAACAACTATAATGCAAATTGAGGGTAAATATAGGTGGAAAAAATAAAAGGTTATATAATATATATATAATATATGTATTGATAAAAGATATCATAAGGATCAAATAATGGTATATGTTACCGCGGAGAATTGATGAAAAGCGGGACGACATATGAATCATCCAACTATGGAATGTTATTAAGCTAAAAGCCGAAAAAGTTTTTTCTTATCGTCTCGTTTACGATGCTTTCAAATGTGTACAAAAGGTATGCTAATATTACAAATGTAATTTCGACTATCTTTTCTTATCTTTAAAAAAATGAAAAAGAAAAAAGAGGACGAAATATTTTCTCTTTGTAAATTCCTTTTCTTTCACTCTCTCTCTCCCTCTTGTAAATTCTTTCTTTCTTCCCTCTCTCTCTCTCTCGAAATATTCTTTGCAAATTTTAAAAATATAATTTAATAAATTTGATTTTCGTATTGTATGTATCTAAAATTAGATGATTGTGCAAAAAAGTAATGCTTCTGATAAAGTAATGATAATCACTATATTATCGTGATATTTGGAATCATAATATCTAATCACCTTTACCTCCTATTTTTCTAACGCCATCAATTTTTTAAATGATAACAATTTTTATTCTTATCTTCTTATCTGTTAAGATTTGCTAGTCAAATTATTATTCTTTCTTTTTCTCTAATCATATCATTTATCAATCCAATCTGTGTGATACAATCAGACAAAAATATTTTTACATTACATATTTTCATATTTCAATATCTGAATGTGTTAGATGTATATTGAGATTTTAAATGTTATATTGCATTTATTATCAGTAATATGTATTATCGGTTCCGGAATAATCATATAATCTTCAGTGAAATAAATTCTTTTTTTTAAAAAGATATTACTGATATCGGTATCACTTAAATGATAAGAGGGAAAGAGTTAATTAGTAATTTTTGCATATTTTTATGGAAGCAACATTTGTTACTGTTCTGCTAACATATAAATGATAATAATGAAGTTTTAATTATGACAAATTAAATTTATTCAAAAATTTTTAAAGCAACTTTGATTGATTCAAACTTAAATTTACAGCTATTATTACTGCAAGACTAAATAAGAAATTGATAAGACAGTTAATTAAGCATTTTCTGTCCTCAAACAAACTTCTGAAGTAGGATGGCTAAATTGATAAGCAATCTATGAAATCAAAATCGAGTCCGAAATTTTTTAAATTTGAAATTATTTTATGCCTGTAATAAGTAAACAAGTAAGTAATAAGTAAACAAGTAAGTTTCAAGTAAGTAATAAGTAAACAAGTAAGTTTCAAGTAAGTAATAAGTAAACAAGTTATTTTATGTTTTAAGTTTCAAGTAAATAATGAATAAACAAATAAGTAATAAATAAATCAATAGACAAATTCGTTTTATTAATTTTTATTAATTTTTATAGTATTTATTTGTAGTATTTATTTTATAGTATTAATGGTATTTACTAATTTTTTAAAATTAGTTTAAATAGTTAATTAAGAAATTTGAAGCTTCCTTTTTTTTTAAATTTAGGAAAACAATAGATATTATTAGCTCATAGCATAATCTTTTCAAAAAAATTCCCAATAAAAATTTAAATGAATTGTAGCAATCCGGAAAATAAAACAATTTAAAAATATTTTTCATTCAGTGATCCATTTTAAAAATCTATTTAAAGGTACAACCGGAAATGGTACAACCGTTTTTTCCGTTCCGTTCCATTTCATTCATTTATTTTATTTGTTTGTTTTTTTTTGTGGTAATGTTTAGTGAAAATTTAATTAACAACAGGTGGAAGTGCTTTCAACATTTTTTGCAAGGAAAAAGAAATATGCCACCAGCAGAAGTAAAATTAATTTCCTTAAAATGTTACAAATTCTCAATTGAAATAAACAAACGAATAAGACTTTTGTCATTTAATCGAAATAGAAAACAAATAAATTATACAATTATTATATATAATTAAATTATATAATTATTACATATAAAATATATAATCATAAATATAAAATTATATAATTAAATTAAATTTAAATATTGCCAGTTCTAATAGAAATTAAAACTGATTGAAAATGTATTGCCCAATAAAAATTTAAACCAACCATTTAAACATTTTTCAACGATTTAAAATAATATCTGAAAAATTTTCCAAATTATTTTCAAAACTAAATTTTATATAAAAATTAATACCTTTCTCTCTCTCTCTCTCTCTCTCCTGATCTCTTCTCTGTCATACAAAAATTTCTATCTGTAATTATATAATCAAAGATGAATTAAAAATATTTACTAAGTATAACGGATTTATTTTTGATATGTTATTCAAATCATTGATTTTCCAATTTCATTATTGCATTTTCAAATTTAATTATTACAGTATATTTAAAATATAATAATAGAATTAATCATATCTTAATTGATATCAAACAGTAATCGATCAATATTAAAGGGAAATATATTTATTTAATAATTTGAATTAAAAATAATGAAAATATTGATATGAAATGTATTTTTTCCTGAATGAAATATTCGGAAGATAAACCGAATTTCGGATTGAAAATATAAAAGCAATCCGAAAATTAAATCTTCCAATATTTTCATATTGAAATTCGTAAAAAAAATTTATTCCATTTTTTTGTTCTCATAGATCTTTCAGACTTTCCGACTTTTATCTTTTCTTTTTTGCCAACAAAATTTTTATTTAAAAAAACAAAAACGATTAAAAATAAAATCAATCAATCAAATAATCAGTTCGAAATTATTTTTGGGCATTTTCTATATCGTACATATACGTATTGTTACTTCATTACTAATTAGTATAAAGTAATAATTGTAGATAGGAAATAATTACCGAGTATTATAATAATAATTACGCATTTCTATTATGTATGCATTTTAATAATTACACATTTTTATTAATAATTAATTATTTGCTAATTATATCATTCGAAACTTTTCTCTTTTCATATAAGTCTAAAAATAATTGACAGCTTTCATTTGCTGTAATAAATGAGGAAGAAAGGATAATTTTAAATTTGAAGAAATTTAAATTTCTAAAAATTTATTCTAAAAAGAAATTTAACAAAAATTTTTCTTTTCCTCTCTATTCTCTTAACAAATATTTTGGATTAAATAATTGATGAAAGGAGTAAAAAAAGAAAGAGAAAGAGAAAAAGAGGCAGAGAAAAAGAGAGAGAGAGAGAGAGAAAATATTATTTTAAAAAAATTTCAATATCGGCATTTGTCGCCTATTATCTTCTTCATTGGGATTTTCTTCGTTTTATTCTTTGTGAAATATTTAAAACAAACAAAAGATATGTGACATCATTTTGCTATCTTTTCCCTTTTTGTTTGTTTGGCCTAAAATAAATGACAGTACGAAAAAACGATCACTCAATTGCCAGCCAACCAATTGCCAGACAATTGAAATGGAGCATTAAAATTTTCATTGATTATCGCTATTTGAATTCTCTCTCAAAATTCAATAATATTTTTTCAAAGAATTTTAGGCAAAAAAAGGTTAAGCTCAAAAATTTATTATAACACTGAAAAGACTAATATTGAAAGTTAATTAAAACAATACCTTACCTTATAATTCTCTCTCTCTCTCTCTCTCTGTCTCTCTCTCTTCTAATTCATCTTTATTAAATTATTTACTTATCAGTTTTAATTAATAATCATTTTATATTTTAAAATAAAGATTTAAAAAATTTGGAAAGAAATATATGAAACAAAAAATAATTGATAAATTTTATGAAATTTTCAAAATAGCTGCTCAATTAAACAAATAAAAAATGAAAAAATCGACTAATTACTAAGTGAATAATTAAAAAGCTTAAATAATTATTCACTAAGTAATTAGTCAATTTGAAATAACTTTTTAGTTAAATAAAAAAAGGAGCACAAATGAATGATTTATTAAATGAAGTAAATATTGCTACAATAATAGTTTACCTATTTTTGAATTAAAGGAAAGGTAAAAAATTGCATAATTAATTAATTAATTAAAAATGGAACTTATTTCGCATAATTTTTATACCTAATTTCGTTTCACCTAATTTCGTGTCAATTTCAAATATTTATTTCAAAAATAAATTTTTCAAAATTTAACAAATCAGGAAAATGAATGTTTTTTTTTCTCTTTTGTTTTACTAAAATCTTCCACAGTGATATTTATTTTGATTTCAATAAAGAGAATGAAAGATTAGAGAGAGAGAAAGAGATAGAGAGAGAGAGAGAGACAAAAAACGACAATTTTTTCAAAAATAAATCGGAAATCAATTTATTTTCTTCGGGCAGCAATTTTGTTGATGATATTTTCCATCGGTCAAAATCCCATATTTCATGTTAATTCTATATTTTCAATATTTTGAATTAGTTTGAAAAATTTATTGCTATCAATAAATTATCAATAAATTATCAATTTCTTACGTTCCTTTGCTGTTAAACAAAATACAGAAAGGAATGACTAAAGGAACATAAAAAAAATGATA